CTTTTATCAACAAACTTCATCCATCCTTTGAATAAACTTTTTTTTTCAAACTGACACTAACTGATTTTAAAATATTTAATAATGATGGAAAGAAAAAAATGTTTGCTATTGTAAATAAGATATTAGAATTCTTATGTAATCACATAATACATATAATAAGGAAAAAACTACATGTTTGACATCAAATAGGGAATGTTGGATTGTTATCAAATGCCTTCAAAATAGGCATCTCCAATTCTATTTGAGAGATAATTCATTTTTTTTTACAAGTAAATTGAAAAGACCCAAAGGACAGTTGATATCTATCTCCTCTAACAATTTTATCCAAAAGGGAAGGTGCAGCCATAGACCAAACAGATAATCCATAATCAATGCAAGACTGAAAATTACTGAAAAAATAACTATTAATGCACTTTTAGATGAGATACATTTACAGAAATGCCATAATATTCCACGTCTAATAGCCAGAGTTTTAACTATTTTATCTAAATGATTTTTAAAAGTAAGTTTATTGTCGAAAATTATTTCCAGATTGTTGAATGACAACATAATTAATAGGAGTAAAGGATTGTGAATTAAAGCAAAACACATAACCACAGTTTTTTGTATATTAATTCTAAGATTAGTAGATTCAAATAGATTTTTCAGCAAGTAAATATCAGATTGTAGGATATTTGGATTGGAACATATTAACTTGTTATTGTCAGCATAAGCTACAACATGGGATTTAAGATGGAGAAGATTGCTAATATATATGAAAAAAAAAAAACCACTGAGAATAGATTCTTGTTGAACACCACATAAAGGAATAAAATCAAAAAATTCATAATCACCTATTTCAATATTTTTCTTTTAGAAAAAATAATTATTGAGCCGTGAATCGTTGGGTCAATAAAATATTTGTGAAGCAAGTTAAGAAGAATATTTGATAAAACAGAATCAAAGGTACTGCTAATGTCAATATGTATTACATAACAAGGTTGCTTATTCTCAAAACTATTAATGATGAAAGACAAAGTTTGTATCAAGTTCATAGTTGTGGAATGATGGTAAATACCACAACATTGAAAAGGCAAAAGTTTATTTTTCAACAAAGAATAAATTATATGATATATACAGATTTCAAATATCTCAAAAATAACAGGTTAATGCATAACAAGATGAAAAGTATTATCTCTTTTAGGAATTGAACTAATTATCAAAGAAAGCCATTGATTTGGAGCAAAGCTTGACTGAGCAAATAAGTAAAAAGTTTAGAAAGATTAACTGCTGAAATAGGTTTTAAAGATTAAAAATAAAATGGTGGGAATTTGATTCAGACTAAACATAGAAGTGTTAAGTAAGTTAATACCTTGAGAAACCTCAGAAAATGAAAAGGATATTAAATATGAATGAAAACAGAAGACAATTGATTTAAAATTAACTGGAAAATGTTATGCTCAGTTTTATATGAAATTAAATTGTGTTGAATTCCTAATAGCATTTGCTATTATCATTTGGATTAAACCTTGAATTATGACATCATAACCCATGAATGAAGGTGCAGTAAATTTTTGTTTTATTTCAATTTTTTCTCCAACAATACAAATTTGCTTTTAAATCCTACATTTATTTACTTTTCATATCACTGATATTATACTAATGTTGATATGAATTATTTAGACATGTACAACAATGTCTACAAAATGTTGTTTGTTATTCACCTATTTTTAATAATAATAATAATAATAATAATAATAATAATAATGAATTAATCTATAGCCATTAGTAATGGATGTGCAAAACATGTCTGTGATCTGTCTGTGCAAAAATGTCTGTGCAAAACATCTGAGGATCCAGCTAATGGACAATAATCTGTGATTATGTTGTATGTGTTATAATTTGAAAATGTGTGGAATGCCTCAATCTGTACAATTTTTACACTTTAAATAAAACATTAGAAAAAAAGTTTACTGTAAACCATTTTGCAAATGAAGGAATTTAAAATGGATTATATATTCCATTCTCTGGTGTTTTGAGAGTGAATTACTACTGCAGAGAGGAATAGGGTCCGGTAGAAAAGCAAAAATTCTAGTGAAAGTCAAGTTGAAAGGATTGAAAGAGGAGTTTTGAAGATAGTGGAAAGGTTTTGATTCAATCTATAGCCACAAAACTGAAAACTTCATGTAGATGGCTCCATAAGGCTTTGAAAACAATAAGACATACTAAATATTGAATTGACACAAAGACAAACTGAAGAAGATTATTGAAAAGTTTTTCATTTTGGATGACAAATTACCACACTCAATGGTGATGATGGATTTTATATTAGTGATATCTCCTCTATATCTGCTGTTTTCCAAGAAAAAGAAATTTGAGGGTAAAAATTTGGTTTGAATTCCAATGGGACAGGAAGGATTGAGACAAAGTTTTCAGATCAGAGCCAAATCAAAAAATTAAGTTTTGTTATCGATGTCCAAAGATACTTAATTTAAATAATTGTATACAACATTGCTCATATTCAAAAAACTATTCTCGAGCAGAATTTGTCTTCTGGACAGATAAAACAAGTTTTCACTACATCAAAATTATACCGGACTAATTATGATAAGAAAACACCACCTTTATCAAACAGGAAGACAATCCTGCAAATCTGTCAGAAATTAGGCCAGTTGAGGATTTTTGGGAAATTCTTAAGGCAGCCACTTATGACAAAAGGTAGAAGGAAAAACCATGGATCAGCTGATTGACTACATAAAGTACTGTCTGAAAAATATGATCCAAAGTCTTCTACATAAACTTGCACTGCACACCCAAAGTTGAATCGACTGTGTTCAACAATGGGGACCTGTATAATTACAAAAATAAAAATTCAGCTTTAAATAAAGCTTTTCATCATTTCAAATGACCATTTAGTTCATAGAGTTTCATTTTTCAAAGTTTAAATTACATTATACAAACTTGTGTAGATTTTTTCCAGAAATCCATTACTATAAATGAAATGAAGGACTCCATTAATATTGTTTCAAATTAACATCATTTCTAATGATGACTAATAGCAGAGCAAGAGTAAAAACAAGTACATAAATTACAGAAGAGGAAAAAATATTTAGCTTATTTCTAATTATTTAATATTTATTATAATTTATAACAAATGTAAATAAATCTATTTTGGATTAACTCCAACTTGTAATAAGAGTTTATAGAAATAGATTTTAAAATAACTTCAAAACAATAAACAAAGCCCAAATAATAAATTAATTCAATGATGATAACGGATTTATCAAGCCATAATTTTAAATTACATTATATTTATATATTTAATTAACAAACTAAAGGTAGGTGAGTAATTGCTAACTTTTAGTCTAAATTACTTTATATCTACATATTTAATAAATCAAGTTATGGTCTAATGAATGTTTATCTGAAGCTATATCTTTCTTCGGATTCCTCTGCTTTACTAGTGGTCAACAGCAATCTTAACAAACTGATCTCTATTCTAAGCCACTTTCAGCAGATAATGTGTAGGTAAGCTCAGTCTATTCTCTTATCTATTACTACTACTCAATCATTGACATGAATTTATAATTTATAAATGTGATTAACTTTTGAGAAGTTCATCACATTTACCACTGTTGCACTAAATTAATAATAAAGGCAAAAGTGCTTATTTTTTTGATCAGGTAGAATAAGAAAAGTAAACAAAAGAAAAGAATATAATGTGTAAAAAATTTATCATTACGTTAAATTTAATTAATTTAGATTTATGTTTAGAAAAAAGAAAGGCATAAAAAAATTTTTAAAATTGGAAACTGTTTAAATTGGAAGGTCTTGGAAACTGTTTGAAGTTAATACTTTCCTGCTACTCTTTTCTTATATTCTGATAAACTGATGATTATAACTGATGAAGCCTTAGTAACAATAGCAATTTTACATTAATGAACAATTACAATTGTTAAATTCCAGGAGTATGTTTTAAGGATGAAAATAAAACTGTTTGATAATAGAAGTGAAGGGTTGGATGTCACACCGATCTTTTGTTTAAGCAAGAAAGGAAGAAATTATCACAAAGGCATTAATTATGTGTTCAAATTCTTTATGTTTTTATTCTAAATTTGGTTTGTTCAAAATGTTGGTTCAAAAGATTTGTTTGAATTTGTGTTCTGCCTGAGGACGATGCCTTATAATACGTTGAAAGCACTTGCAAATATAGCAATATTTATACATAATTAATGCCTTTGTGATAATTTCTTCCTTTCTCACTAAGACTGTTTGAAAAAACTCAAAAACAATGAAATATTTTTATTATTTATAAACATGTGTTAAAAGAATTTTCTTCATACATTAACATTATCTTAAATTTTAAGATAAACAAAATGGACGAAACTGATTTCCTGCACAAATTTATGAGAATGTAAATGTTATCAACATGTTCAATGGGCATATTCAAACTAACTGACCTTTGCAGCTGTTAAAACAAGGGGATTGCCATCCACATGTTAATTAAGAGAGGTGACATAAGATATGGTAGATCAGTAAGCCTGAAGATGCTCATTTAACATGGTTGAAAACATTTGCTTTCTTACAAATTTGTGCTGGAAATTTGTTTCATTCACTTTGTTTATTAAATATATCCAGTTTTGAGTAGTTGATTAAATTTTAAAATTTTCCATAGTAACTTTTGAAAAGTAATATTATAACATTCTGAATTATTCAAATTGAAATACAAAACCAATTTTTAATGTTAATAGGACATAATGGAACAACTATTTATGTTTAGAAAAAAGAAAGGCATAAAAAAATTTTTTAAATTGGAAACTGTTTAAATTGGAAGGTCTTGGAAACTGTTTGAAGTTAATACTTTCCTGCTACTCTTTTCTTATATTCTGATAAACTGATGATTTTATCAGAATATCACAAAGCACTTGATTTTAAGCAATCAAGTGCTTTGTTAAAATAAATTAAATAAATTATATTTTATTAAATTATATTATCATATGAAGAAAAATAAAGCAAATTACCAAAATATTGTCAATTATATTTTCATTTGAATCCATGATTTCACAGTTAAACTGTGTTTTATTAGTAGGACTTGGATCTTTTGGTTCCTCTTCAAATTCAAATTGCTTTTTGTCAGTCTTAATACGTAACTTTAAACTGAAAATAATTTTAGAATTAAAAACTTTTCTACAATAAATATACTTGAAAATTTATCACTATTTAAATTAGTTTGTATAAATACTATGGGTATGCTCATAAACCCCAATGAGTTAAACAAAATAGTAATGAGGTATGCACAGAGTGGAACTAATACTTTATGACTATGCTCTGTATTGATACAATTTTAAATGAAACATTACAAAGAAAAGAGTTTGTTTGCATTGTGAATAAAATGGCATGTGGAAATAATATTTCTAATTTCACTCACAAATACACATTGTGATTAAAAGATGAAATGACACAAATAACAGCCTAGGTGAAGGTATTGAAGGTATCTGAGAAAAAGATTTCAAATATGACTTCACTAATAAACATTTACAACCTTAGCTTTAAAAATAGCCATTTTTTTATAAATGAATCAGCTAAAATGCCCAGTGACAGTATGAACAACAACCGTTTCACTTTATTAACCCCTATAATACAATAAATCTGTTAACTGAAATTATTTATGAAGAAAATTAAATTTGACATATACTCTAAAACAACTTATAAATGTATATTTAATTTTTTCATTTTAATATTACATGAAGTGTGCAATGCCATAACACTGTAAATGCCATTTTTCTCTAAATACATTTTATTGAAGAATTAAATTCTAAATTGAATGTTTTCTGCAGAAAAAAATATTGTGGCAATAGTGGCACTGTAAGTGGCTGTATTTTGAAGTTGAATTTATGTGCAAGCCGTAATGTTTAAAGTGCCAAAGTACAAATCACATGACTTTTGGTACTTAAAACGTTATGACTTATGTTTTGTTATTCCAGAGAATTTGTAACTTATTGAATTTTTTACTATTTTATTGTAAAATTGAAATGAATTCATTCACTAGAAAAAGTGTTTTTTTTTACTTCTCCTGAAAAGTTTGTTTTTTTTGGCATTTACACCATTATGTCATTGCATGCTTCACATATCGGAGTAATGAACTACTGTTGGCATGAGTATCCAGAAAAGTATACTAAAAAAATTTGCCTGCCAAATGATTTTATTTATTTTTTACTGTCAAGAATATCAATTTGTAAGGTTTGCTGATGGGGACGGGGGAAAAGTCAAGAGAGTTGAAGGGTTGCTAAAAAGGTTGTGCGTGAGTGTGATTGGCACTGAGACAGACTCTATGGTTACAATAAACTGCTTATTTAACACAAAAGAAGCTTACAAGATTTCTGCAATCTTGGGAGTTCTAAGTCGGCCATGGCCTCTGGCCTTCCTCTCCTTTCCAAGATAGTCCCAAATGAAGGAATGTCCCTGGTTTGCAAATGACAGATCCCTCAACAACTCTGGGACAATGCAGTTGACTTCCAGTGATGGGAAGATGTCAATCCAAGGACAAGAGATAGAAACAAATATGGGCACAAGACACACACACAAAACAATTTGTCTGACACTTGAAACTTTCACGATAAAAAGCCGTTACATCCTTGAAATTCCAGGTTTTTATTAATATCTGTCTTTAATCGCCCATTTCAATTGGTTGCTTTTCCTCATTCTTGCTTTCTAAGTGATTGATCACTCATTACCATGTGTGACGAGATCTCAACTTGGATCACAAGAAAGATCAAAATCGAAGTTTAATTCAATCTCAACTGGAGATGGTCAACCTTAGGACTTTCATTCTTCTATTGTTTATAAGTTCACATTGCATTTTTATACAAAAATTGTTTTCTTTAAAAAATTATTTTAAACGTGAATTTCAGTGAGGGTTCAGACTTGTCCAGAGTCTCACAAATTGACATCCTTTGACACATTTAAATGATGCAAAATGATAAGAATAGACATGAGATAATACAAATGGACTGTCAATAGACTAGGCCTAATTGGAATCAATTCATTTACAGATTCAAGAAAAGCAAACTTTTAAATCATTTAATTTTTCATATTTTTGTCCATTAAATAAATGATTTTTCTCATTGTGCAATTTTTCTTGTTGTACATCTCTAGTTATAATAGCTTATAGCCAGTAATTCTAATCTATGTGCATTTTTGTGTTTTTTGTTGTGTTATTAATATATGTATTTTTCAAAGTACACAATTTTATATTAAAAAGTATGTGTTTTGAATTTTTAACCTCAAAACTAACTTTTTTAAATAAAAGGCACTCAATTTAAATTGTATCAGGGTTTCCAGGACCCTTCAAATGGTACCAAATGCTTCTTTTCTAGTTATGCCTTGACTCTGGTCAAGATAGCACTAGGCACTGGTATATATAGTATGTAGGATATATTCCAATGTTAACATCATAATAATAATATTCCACTGAAGAAAGTGACATAAAACTTAATATAAATAAAAATGTATTTATTGTTTTAAAAATTGCAGCCTGGCATTCTGACATCACAATCTTCTTTTAATTTAAAAAAATCACATGATTTACAGTCCAGAATGGAAGTTCATATATAGTTAATTGGGGTCTTCAGACCCCAAGCTTTCTATGAGAATCCAAACTTTAACATAAATTGGTCGTCGATGTTGTCATACTTGTTCAATAATTGTAGTTATCTACTACCTAAGAAAATCTCCACTTACACTTTCTCGATAGCAGAAACAACGCATTCCTGTGACCTGCTGACCTCTTCTTGGCTGGTGATATTGTGCTAATAGTGTAATTGACAGCCGAAGAGTCAGTCACCGCGTAATTCTCCGAGGCAAGAAGTTGCCACCCGGTCCCTAACAATAGTTGTTGCCCATTCCTCTAGGACTAAAGTCTTCAAAATATGTGTCTGTGCCCAATTGTACTTGATCGATTTCAGCCTTGACCAACAGTGCCAGTGAAGACGAACCTTCCTGACGATCTTGATCAAGACTTTCCCAATCCAGAACTTTTTGATAATCTTTTAGAACAATAACAGACTTCTTAGTCTCATCACCACCTTGTGGACATCCTCAACTCCAGGTATTTATCGACTCGCGAACCAATGTAAACTCACTCTCTCGAGAAACACAAAGGTATCAAGACCTATTTTAGCTTGATTTATTATAACTCATTTAATGATATAAAATGTATTTCTCTTTACAAATAAATGGTTGTTTAGTTAACCTAGTATCTGTGTGAGTCACTTCCTGCCCGCTATCTCGCGGTCTCCATCCCGAATCCAATCGCTCATTCATGCAGCTGCTCGTGTGACCTACTTTCTAATCCAAACCGCCATCGTAGCTTCCGTGTTAATCGGGACATGGTGGTGTCATTCCTGACAGGACATCGAAGAAGTGCCAATCCTCCAGTCACATTTCTAAATCTGGTCTGAATTTTAGTTGTGTCTTGCCCCTGTAAATCATTCTTCTCCTGATAACAATGAAGTCATGCTGGTCATCTATCTAACTCCATACTCAAGATGATTTTGAATTGAAATCATGCAACTTTCAGTCTAGACTGAAAGTTTATATATAATTAATTGGGTTTTCAGACCCCTAAGCTTTATATCTGGTCTCAGTTTTCATCTGTCTAGCTCTGTTCTTGAGTTTAATGAAAAACAAACAGATGATAGTGGAAATGTATAGGTCTGCAATTTGAAAATTGCAGTCCAATTATAATTAAATTAAATAATTTCAGATTTTATATTTGTACTTATAGAAAATTTAATTGCATAAAAAACATTCACAAGCTTTTAGCTCTCTTTATATATTAAAAATATAAATTTACATCTTTATGTAAAATATATATGGTAATTAATGAAGTATAAATAATTAGCTTACCTATGAAAAGGTGTTACAACATCACCAACTTTAATATTAATTGGATCCGATTTAAAATAAAAATATGGGGAATCGGCAGGTTTAAATCCAGGTGGTTCATAATCTGCAGGGGTTACTGAAAACAGATATAATTAAATATTTAAAAAAAACTAATCTTGAAAATTCATTATTTATAAAATAATATAGAAATGTTCATATATCACGTTAATAAATATTGTTAAAAACGTATGCTCATATTCTATTATTACATATATATTATTACATATATTCAGTACATATATTAAGTTATAATTATTAATACTGTACAAAGGAAAATAAATGATATTGAATACTTTTAATTAATAGCTGTTGTTCAGAAATTTATAAAAGAATAAAGAACATAAAAACAAGCATTCCAAATATAGTCCAGTATATTCACAAAAGCCAAATTTTGGAAAAGATTCTATAAACTTTCTAACTTGGGATGGTTTTCCATCTGAGGCAGGCTGGAATAAGAAATTGGTCGTTGCTTCAAAATGCGAGCACACTTTTCAATTATCAATTTTCAATCTAGACTTAATACTTGCTACAAAATAAAAGTAAAACAACATGGAAAATGATACATATAAGTACACATGTTCTACAAAAAATTTTTTCACTAAAATTGCAAATTTTTAGATGCTGTCTTGGGTGGTTTACTTGCTTGAACTCAATACTCTTGAGCTGTTTGCATTTGTCTTAGTCATAATTAACAGTGAAGTATTTGAATTTTCAATAATATATTTTTTTAACATGTCAATGACCAGGGAAGCAAAGTAATCTTCTTTTAAAACCAAAGTGGCCTCAGGCTGAAAATGTAAATGCATAAAATGCAACATATATACAGACAGAAACAGAATATGATATTTTTTGAAATTTCAGTAAAATAGAGTACAGCAAGTTTTTTCTTTTTTTATTTGCTAAAAATTTTCCATCAAAGTGTAGTCTATAGGAAAAGTCTTTTACAATGATGCTCACTCCAGTTACAGGATCTTATCTCAATTCAAAGAAATAGTGGATTCTTTTCACTAAAACATATAGGAATGATAAATATTTATATATAAATTTGATGCAATATTTAATGCCCATAGCTTTCTGTTCATGTCTCACAGGTTATGTCTTAGACAGGCTATTTTGTGTGAAGAACTTGACAATATTGCTGAATTAAATGTAAACATCCATTTTCACAAGTTTCTCACAGATTTTGCTGTAAATTTTATGTTGAAATGACACCAAAACAAAAAAAAATTCCAAGATGTTTTGTGAATAAAACTTGCAGTAAGAAAGTAGAACTTAAGTTTAAAATAAATTGAAAATAAAATTTAGAAAGAATATAGTGCAATAATCATACTATGTTCTTTTTAATAACACCAAAGTTCCCCACATAAATAACTACAAAACATTTAATTATTTTACTAATATAACATACTTTCTGTAATTAGATAATATTTATATGATTCCTTTGAAAATCCTATAATGAAGACATTAAATAAATAAAGTACTCTTCTTATTCCTTGACATTGCTCAAGACTTCTTGCAAATACCTCTTCCTTACCCACAATTCTAGCTTACTTATTCCTTTCAATGACTCACATAATGCACCAGATTTCTTCTCTCCCCAAACATATCTGGCTTCTTTCCTTTCTGCTCTTCTTGGCCTATCTGTCTAACCATCTGTCTAAAATCCTATCTGGCATTGTATATGATGATGCTATGTATCCAGAATAATACATCTTTACTTCAATTACTTTACTTGGAACAGATGAACATTGCTCTATCCAAACCAAAATATAACTGAAAATGACTATATACTATATATTGATATATCAGTCTTTGAATCTCGCATCTATTAGTAGTTATTGTAATTTGTTGTATTGGACTAACAAGATGGAGTAATTAGTTATGTTGGTCTTCCTACAAATACAGATATATCAATATGTATTTAGCAGAGATGCTGCAAGTATATATTACTAATATTGATTTTATAGCCAACACTACGATTATTTTTATTATAAACAAAAGATTTTTGACTCAAGGTTTAGCAGCATTATTTTCCTATTTTAATTGTGTTATTGCTTTGTAATAGAATGAGTTAATAATGCAATTAACTTCCACTGGATAACTGGATCAATGACTAAGAACATCTGGATAATAACATTTACATTTTCGTTTCTGTTCTAATTCTGTTCCACCATTCAATAAAGTGGCATATTCAATAACCTGGCACCACATCAGTCCTGATGATGCTGGGTTAACTGAATGTCACTGTAATTTATGTAGTCAAAGAAATTATTTAACTATTATTTTGTATCTTAGAATAATGCACTTTCATGTACTCTTTCCAAACATCACAGATATTATAGAAGCTATTTTATGTAAAAGAAAGGAAAGAAATAAATTATTAAAAATTATAATATATTGAAAAATTACCTTCATCATAGTATAGCAATTTCATTGTAAGATACGCTGTTTCAGGTAATGGTTTAAGATTCTGCATTAACAAAATCACTGTTCTTAATAATGAAAAAGTTGCTTTTTTTGTAAGAACAATACTATTATTAGATACAGAAGCAAGCTTTTCATCATTGCTATAAATAAAAATATATTAACTGTAAATAATTTTAATACAAAAAATGAATCTAATAAACAGATTTATAAAGACTGATATCGAATTTTGTCATAGAAAAAATAAAATAAAATTACCACAGTAGAAAATATTAATCCAACTCCTAATTTAATGAATATGTTTTAAAATTCTTTAAAAACATTAAAATAAGATTTATTAAAATTTAATTCTATTCTAAAAATATAAATCCTAAAGATTTAGTCACTCATCTTCAGGTATTGTTTGGAATACAGTAGGTGATCGGTTAACGAACAGATCGGATAACGAACAAATCGGATAATGAACACTTTCGCGAAAGATTTTTATGTTAGGACAACAAACACATGATTGGATAACGAACACCCCACAGAACAAACAAGAAGAAGCGAAGAATAATGAATATCGATTGGTCTTCTCTTGTCTTCGGGCAACAATTCGAAACTTTTCAGAGTGTGGGAGACGTCGACATCAACGCTCACTGTACAAAGGAAAATAAATGATATTGAATACTTTTAATTAATAGCTGTTGTTCAGAAATTTATAAAAGAATAAAGAACATAAAAACAAGCATTCCAAATATAGTCCAGTATATTCACAAAAGCCAAAATTTGGAAAAGATTCTATAAACTTTCTAACTTGGGATGGTTTTCCATCTGAGGCAGGCTGGAATAAGAAATTGGTCGTTGCTTCAAAATGCGAGCACACTTTTCAATTATCAATTTTCAATCTAGACTTAATACTTGCTACAAAATAAAAGTAAAACAACATGGAAAATGATACATATAAGTACACATGTTCTACAAAAAATTTTTTCACTAAAATTGCAAATTTTTAGATGCTGTCTTGGGTGGTTTACTTGCTTGAACTCAATACTCTTGAGCTGTTTGCATTTGTCTTAGTCATAATTAACAGTGAAGTATTTGAATTTTCAATAATATATTTTTTTAACATGTCAATGACCAGGGAAGCAAAGTAATCTTCTTTTAAAACCAAAGTGGCCTCAGGCTGAAAATGTAAATGCATAAAATGCAACATATATACAGACAGAAACAGAATATGATATTTTTTGAAATTTCAGTAAAATAGAGTACAGCAAGTTTTTTCTTTTTTTATTTGCTAAAAATTTTCCATCAAAGTGTAGTCTATAGGAAAAGTCTTTTACAATGATGCTCACTCCAGTTACAGGATCTTATCTCAATTCAAAGAAATAGTGGATTCTTTTCACTAAAACATATAGGAATGATAAATATTTATATATAAATTTGATGCAATATTTAATGCCCATAGCTTTCTGTTCATGTCTCACAGGTTATGTCTTAGACAGGCTATTTTGTGTGAAGAACTTGACAATATTGCTGAATTAAATGTAAACATCCATTTTCACAAGTTTCTCACAGATTTTGCTGTAAATTTTATGTTGAAATGACACCAAAACAAAAAAAAATTCCAAGATGTTTTGTGAATAAAACTTGCAGTAAGAAAGTAGAACTTAAGTTTAAAATAAATTGAAAATAAAATTTAGAAAGAATATAGTGCAATAATCATACTATGTTCTTTTTAATAACACCAAAGTTCCCCACATAAATAACTACAAAACATTTAATTATTTTACTAATATAACATACTTTCTGTAATTAGATAATATTTATATGATTCCTTTGAAAATCCTATAATGAAGACATTAAATAAATAAAGTACTCTTCTTATTCCTTGGCATTGCTCAAGACTTCTTGCAAATACCTCTTCCTTACCCACAATTCTAGCTTACTTATTCCTTTCAATGACTCACATAATGCACCAGATTTCTTCTCTCCCCAAACATATCTGGCTTCTTTCCTTTCTGCTCTTCTTGGCCTATCTGTCTAACCATCTGTCTAAAATCCTATCTGGCATTGTATATGATGATGCTATGTATCCAGAATAATACATCTTTACTTCAATTACTTTACTTGGAACAGATGAACATTGCTCTATCCAAACCAAAATATAACTGAAAATGACTATATACTATATATTGATATATCAGTCTTTGAATCTCGCATCTATCAGTAGTTATTGTAATTTGTTGTATTGGACTAACAAGATGGAGTAATTAGTTATGTTGGTCTTCCTACAAATACAGATATATCAATATGTATTTAGCAGAGATGCTGCAAGTATATATTACTAATATTGATTTTATAGCCAACACTACGATTATTTTTATTATAAACAAAAGATTTTTGACTCAAGGTTTAGCAGCATTATTTTCCTATTTTAATTGTGTTATTGCTTTGTAATAGAATGAGTTAATAATGCAATTAACTTCCACTGGATAACTGGATCAATGACTAAGAACATCTGGATAATAACATTTACATTTTCGTTTCTGTTCTAATTCTGTTCCACCATTCAATAAAGTGGCATATTCAATAACCTGGCACCACATCAGTCCTGATGATGCTGGGTTAACTGAATGTCACTGTAATTTATGTAGTCAAAGAAATTATTTAACTATTATTTTGTATCTTAGAATAATGCACTTTCATGTACTCTTTCCAAACATCACAGATATTATAGAAGCTATTTTATGTAAAAGAAAGGAAAGAAATAAATTATTAAAAATTATAATATATTGAAAAATTACCTTCATCATAGTATAGCAATTTCATTGTAAGATACGCTGTTTCAGGTAATGGTTTAAGATTCTGCATTAACAAAATCACTGTTCTTAATAATGAAAAAGTTGCTTTTTTTGTAAGAACAATACTATTATTAGATACAGAAGCAAGCTTTTCATCATTGCTATAAATAAAAATATATTAACTGTAAATAATTTTAATACAAAAAATGAATCTAATAAACAGATTTATAAAGACTGATATCGAATTTTGTCATAGAAAAAAAAAATAAAATTACCACAGTAGAAAATATTAATCCAACTCCTAATTTAATGAATATGTTTTAAAATTCTTTAAAAACATTAAAATAAGATTTATTAAAATTTAATTCTATTCTAAAAATATAAATCCTAAAGATTTAGTCACTCATCTTCAGGTATTGTTTGGAATACAGTAGGTGATCGGTTAACGAACAGATCGGATAACGAACAAATCGGATAATGAACACTTTCGCGAAAGATTTTTATGTTAGGACAACAAACACATGATTGGATAACGAACACCCCACAGAACAAACAAGAAGAAGCGAAGAATAATGAATATCGATTGGTCTTCTCTTGTCTTCGGGCAACAATTCGAAACTTTTCAGAGTGTGGGAGACGTCGACATCAACGCTCAAGCCAGTATATACCAATCGGATAGTATTCCTCCAAACTTTGAAACTCTCCCTTGTAATTCCAGCCTTTTATTTTTCTGACAAAACGATTCTTTTGTGTATTCGTGAGACTGTCGGGTAAGTACTCGCTAAGTTTTGCGTCTGTTTTTCTTTTTGAAAGGTGAGAGTATAATAGCAAAGGTAAAGAGTGAGCAGAAGATGTCTAATGTTGCTGGGCAATCTGGCGTAAACAGGTCTACAGTAGGCCTCAGTTCAATCTTATTTAAGAAAAATGCTGTATAATCAAGAAGACTCCAGCAGCTAAAGAAGTAACAAAAATCACATCTGAGAAATAAAGAACATCGAAGAGTTTGTAACGGAACCTGAAACAGATCTGACGACAGAAGAACGCCAAGAACTCTTGAATGAAGAACACCAAGAAACTTGGCAATGTATGTTTTCTTCTGAAAAAGAGGATTAATGCCGATATCTGTTATTAAAGATCCTTTGTAGAAGTGGGAGGATGTCAGAACAACAGTCTTAGAATGGCATCCAAACCAAGTTGAGGCTTGGGGATCTCTACAGTTACAATGCTATTAATTACTGACAAAAAATCATGAAGAAAGAAAAGCAATCGACATTAGACAGATTCTTTAACCCTTTCAAACGGATAAACATGACTAATAAAAATGCAAGACTATGTATGTATGTAGTTTTATTACTACATATAAATAAACGTAGTAAGAAAGTATATATTTTTTATTTTTTGGGGTCTCCAGAACGAATTAATTAAATTCCCATTAAAACCTACCGTAAATCGATAATCGGTTAACGAACAATTCGGATAGCAAACAAAGTCTTGGAACTGATTATGTTTGTTAACTGATCACCCACTGTATATAATTTTGATTTGAACAGTTTTAAAAAATTTATCTTAATAAATTAATTACTGTTAAACAAACATTAACATCTCTGAAAGAATTGAGACAGAAAATAAACAAAGCAAAAGAAACTAACTTCTTGTTACTGGAATATAAATATTCATTAACTCCATAAATTACAATGTAAAATAATTTATTGAAGTTATTTTGCTAATTTTATTTTGTTTAATTTATACATAATTTATGCTCTTTTATTTATTTTCCAAATTTGTTTAAAAAATTTTGCATTAAAAAAAATGGTCAAACTAGATCTGTTCAAAGAAAACACAACAGGAATGTTATCTTCTGAACAAGTTAATGTTCCTGAAGATAAATGATATATGTTTGAAAATGTTTGAATTTTAATAAATTGTATTTTAGTAGTTTTAAACTACAGGTATCCCTCATATAACATGGTACTTCTACAACATGGTTTCGCTCAAACACAGTTTGAAAATTGGACATATCCCCATACAGCATGACTTCTGGTTTCGCTCCAACATGGTTTTGGAAATCCTCCTTAAAAAATTTCACAATTTTTTAGTGTAAACTTCATTATTTGATATTTTTTATTTAAGTAAGCATGTGTCAAATTTGCCCATAGATTTTAGAATATTAAAATTCTCAAATTATTTTGTGCTTTTCATCAGATTTACTTTAATAAAAACTGATAGGACAAGGAAGACCATTACTACTAAAACCATTACTACTAAAATAAGAAGTGTCTATTTTAAGATGTTGTTCCTCCTCCTCCCCTTTTAATCCATTGTACAGGTACACCATACAAAGTATCAGACTTCCTGATAAACATACAGTGAAAGCTATCACACCTTGTTTTTAACCAGTTTTTATTGCTTTTAAGTATTTTATGTTTTCACAACTTTTATTAGTCAAATTTTTATACATTTTAACTAAAATATTTTTATTTTTACAGGTATACTCTCTTACACAAAAACGACTTCCAACAACTTAACACTGCATTGATAAATAACAATCCACAAAACCTTTTTTTTACAAGTGTTATGTCCGTAACAAACTCCACAAATGCTTTCGACCTCCACCAAGCTCCACCTGCTTCAGGTAGTGACTGACTGTGTTTCCTCCTGACCGTCGTAACGATGACGCATGAGATGTAAATAGTTGTGCGTGTTGGGTTTCACCCCTTTGCCTGTCCCAGTTCAAATTCCTCGAACAAATACCTCCATGCCTGCGTGATCGTTTCACCATCTTTGAAGTTGATACAGGTGCCCCCACTGTTAGCTTTATATATCTCCCAGGCCTCCAGGTGACAGACGTGATCTGTCCACCACCGCCTTGTCGACCTACGTTACCGACCCTGAAATACGAGCTTCCATAACACCAGACTAATCAGACAAGTGTTTTGAACAGATCACATCCGTCATCTGGAAGCCTGGGAGATATATAAAGCTAACAGTGGGGGCACCTGCATCAACTTCAAAGATGGTGAAACGATCGCGCAGGCATGGAGGTATTTGTTCAAGAAATTCGAACTGGGACAGGCAGAGGAGTGAAACTCGACATGCACAACTATTTACATCTCATACGTCATTATTATGATGGTCAGGAGGAAACACGGTCAGTCACCACCTGAAGCAGACCTTGGTGGAGGTCGAAAGCATTTGTGGAGTTTGTTACAAACATAACACTTGTAAAAAAAGGTTTCGTGGATTGTTATTTATACCATCTTATTATTTTTAACAACATTTTATCATATTTACTTTTTTACTCATTTTTTTAAACTTATTTTTTAATTTATTTCAGTTTTACTTATTTTATCCCATGGTTTCAGTAATTAGTTATTCCAGCTGTCACTATAATTATTTTTAGGTAATTATATTTTAAAAAAATTTTTGTACGTGTATGTTAACTATAATTTAATACATTCTGTAATTTCTTACATAGTTTTTACCAATATATATAATAAAATAAGGACTTAAGAGAGGCAGAGAGCCCAAAATGAATATCTGTTCTAAATTATGGAAATTAAATCTTACTTTTTCCATCAAAAGGAGTGTTCCTGTGTGATTTGTTCTCAATAGCAACTTTATGCTAAGTTCCAAAGGACATACATGGATCAATCAAATCAATTAGTTCAAGAATAAAATCTATTAAAATCTCCAAATTTCAAGAACAAATTTTTCTTCTCTCAAGTTTACAAGATTTTCTTCTCTCAAGTTTACATTATAAACCTGTTTTGTTCTCTTTCTTGTGCCCATGTTCAGCTGCTGTCCTTATCTTTGAACTGGTATCATCTCTGTCTTTGCTCTGCCACTGTCACAGTCATTTACCTGCCAACCAATTACTGCTCATTCCACATCTAGTTATCAACAACATTGCCCAGAGCCTTCGGGTTGCCATCAGATCATCAAAGACACCATACTTCCATTTTGGACTTTCTTTTTGAGAACTTCTCAAGTTGGAAAAATAGAATCTTGTAAGCCCTTCAATTTTTGGATAAGGTTCTTTTGTAAAGATGACTTGCCTTGGAGTTGTCTACCACTCCCATGTAATGTCCCTTATCCCTCATTCATCTTGACTTTATTTCAATTTTCCTTTCCCTTTTCCCTAATTGACAACCTTGCATACCATCTGAATACCTGTGCACAAGATAAACAATTATTCTCATAAACTTGTTTCATCAACTCCACAGTTTCAGATGCATTTTTCCCAAGTTTAAGACAGACTTTAATATTTGCTTACCACTACATGCTGCAAGTGTGATAACATTCTCTCATTACCAATACATCATGGTGCCATATTTCTCATCATGCTTAATAATGAGTGTTGTCATGTTGCCAGACTATACATGAAAGTTGGCAATATAGATAATATACATTGTTTTGAAGATCGCATTTCTATCTTGGTCAAAATAAAATCAGTCTCATTATATAACTGTTGTAACTGTATATAATATTTATGTTATCATCATTCTTTGCATGGGAATTACAATGATACAATTTACAATAATTTAAATAATCTTAAATTTCCAATCAATAATATTCTTCTTCTTTATCTGGCATTATAGGCCTTGAAGGTCCTTAGCCGCAGTCACAATCTTTCTCCATCTTGTTCGGCCTGCCCTGCCAATCTTCAATTCCCAGGTGTTGAAGATCTTCAGTGACCCCATCTATCCATCTTTTTCTGGGACAGCCTCTTGGCCTCTTCTCTTTCCTCTCATAGTGAAGCCCTGATAAAGCTTTTGCATTATAGGAAGCCTTACAACATGGCCTAGCCACTGTAATCTTCTGGCTTTAATCACCTGTGTAATCATGGACTTGCCGTAAGTTGTCTTCAGTTCCTGGTTTATTCTTTTTCTTCACATTGGTTCTCCATTGACCATGATACCATTTTCATTATAGTTTTCCACAGATCTGTAGATTTTCCTTAGTACAGTGGGTGATTGGTTAACAAAAATAATCCATTCCAAGACTTTGTTCATTAACCGATTATCAATTTACCATAGGTTTTTATAGGAATTTGATTAATTTGTTCTGAAGACTCCAAAAAATAAAAAATATATACTTTTCTACTACATTTATTTATATGTAATAGTAAAAATATATATATATGCAGTCTTGCATTTTTATT